GTCAAGAGATCGAGACCATCCTGGTCAACATGGTGAAACCCTGTCTCTACTAAAACTATAAAAAAAATTAGCTGGGCATGGTGGCACGTGCCTGTAGTCCCAGCTACTCAGAAGGCTGAGGCAGGAGAATTGCCTGAACCCAGGAGGCGGAGGTTGCGGTGAGCCGAGATCCCGCCATTGCACTCCAGCCTGGGTAACAAGAGCGAAACTCCGTCTCAGAAAAAAAAAAAAAAAAAGAGATTCCTCGTCAGTAAATGAGAGCAGTATTAGCACCTCTGCTGTTACGGGGTTCTTGTGAAAACTAAATGAAATGAGAGCATTTATAGCCATGGTGCTGGCACTGTGTCAACTCTTTGTAAATATTAGCATTATCATTGGCAGAGGTGGGAGGGGAAGGTTATGCATTCTTTTCAGATAGGCTAAGTTGGGGTAACTAGATCACATGGTCACGATCACAGACATCTGTCAGGCACTTGGCAAGGAGGATTTGGAGCCCAGGCAAGAGGTCGGAGCTCGCTACTCCTATCTTTGGGTGTCACCTACAGGTAGATGAAGGTTACCTGGGAGTAGATAAATCATCCAGGAAGAGGGTGAAGAAACCGCGGAGGCAAGGCCCTTGAGGAGGGGATAAGTAGAAAGGCCAGAGAAGCTCTTGGAAGAGGCTGAATGCAAAGACATTCGGCAGGGCCCACCCTGGAGGGCTGGGTCGTGGGAGAAGGCAGGCCCCTGACTTTCAGCCTCAGCCTCACCCATTCTCCTGCCCCAGGTCTGTGACAGCCTTGGGCGGCGACACCTGTCTACCTGTGCCCTCTGTGACTTCTGCTCCCTGAAGCTGGAGCAGTGCCACTCAGAGGCCAGCCTGCAGCGGCAGCAATGTGACACCTCCCACAGGACACCCTTTGTCAGCCCCTTGCTTGCCTCCCAGAGCCTGTCCATCGGCAACCAGGTACCTAGCCCGGCAGCCTGCGGTGCGAAAGGCAGAACTGCGTGGCGGGGGTGGGGAGGGAGGAGCCAGCAGGAGGGGAGGGACACGCACCTCTCCCCTGTCTCCTGTGCCACAGGTAGGGTCCCCGGAACCCGGCCGCTTTTATGGGCTGGATTTGTACGGTGGGCTCCGCATGGACTTTTGGTGTGCCCGGCTTGCCACAAAGGGCTGTGAAGATGCTCGAGTCTCTGGGTGGCTCCAGACTGAGTTTCTTAGTTTCCATGAAGGGGACTTCCCCACCAAGGTCAGAGCCTTCCCCAACCTCAGCCCCATCCCCACCCTCACCCGTTCCTTCCAGTTACTTGCTCTAGGTTAGCCCTAGTTTGCGGAAGGGGGCTTGGGCCCCTGGGTTCCAAGAACCAGTCTTCACTGAACCTCCTGCCTCCTTCCAACAGACCATTGCACCCCACCCCACCCCCACCGATAGAGCATGCAAAGGAGTAGGGACCCGGAGCGCTGAGAAAGCACAAGCGCTGGAGCTTCTGGTCCCAGCTCTGCCAGTTACTTGCTGAGTGGCTGTGATTAAATCATTTCCAGCTCAACCAAAGTTAGAGTCATTTCTACAAGGAAAGACTAAATGACTCCTACACGGCTGCCCAACCCTGTGAGCCAGGACTTCCCCGCCTCAGCCCAGTGGGCTCTTCCCAGCTCTTCCAGTGCTTTCCCTGCCCGATGAGATCAACTTGGCTCCCTGCTCCCCTGAGTTACCTCCCCTGTGGAATGCCCTGTTGTTACCGAGAGTCAGGCCTCTCCTGTAGTTAGCAGGGAAAACCAAGGCAAGGAAAAGGAAGGGCAGCTGAAGCAAGGGCTGGCAGCTGAGTTGAGGGGCCCATGCCCAGCTCTTGTCCTAGGCCCCTTGATCTGGAATGGGGAAGCGAGGTCCAAACAAGGAAGTGACTCACCCTGTCACACATTGCAGATTCTCTCCCCCTTCCTTCATCTACTTACCAGAAAAAAAATCCCTGACATCAGGCCGCTAATTGGGTCCCTGTCCCATGTTCTAGACCCTTATCTGCCCCGCCCTGCCTTGTTCCCCCTTCCTCAGCCACTTTCCCTGTGAGCTGAGCGGTAGCCTGGTACTCTCCCAGGCTCCTGGCTTCTTCCCAGCAACCTGTAGCAGAGAGGGAGGGGAAAGGCAGAGGGAAGGCAGAGTGAGGGGCCCCCAGATGTGGAAGGCCTGGGTCTCAGGCCACACCCTGCCCCTGGCTCTGCCCTAGCAGATACTCCCTGGAGGGTTGCTGTCTGGTGAGGCTTCTGATATCCCCCTCTCTCTCCTTGGCTGTTGGCTTAGATTTGTGACACAGACTATATCCAGTACCCGAACTACTGCTCCTTCAAAAGCCAGCAGTGTCTGATGAGAAACCGGAATCGGAAGGTGAGCACCCCTGCCCTGCCCCTACTTCTTCCAGTAACTCCTCCGTCAGGCACCACAGCTGCTCTATTCTGAGGCCCCCTCTGCGAGCAGCTAGGATGTGGAGAGCAGCTCCCTGCTTGCATCTCTGGGGCAGAGGCCTCCACCAGCAGGCTGTCCTCCACTCCTCCAGTCCTGGAGGAGGCAAGACCCTCCCAGGTGGGTGGTGGATGACAGAGGAGGACCCTGAGAGCACCACAGGAAGAACCCTGGGCTGGGCTGGGAATTGGACGTTGAAGTCTTGGTCTCTGTCTCCTGTTCTTACTCACCAAGTGGCCTGGGATGAGGCACTTCCCCCTCGAGCCTCAGCCGCCTGCTTCTGCAGGAAAGGGGTCAGGCTGCTCGGCAGCCCCTCTGGCTTTAAAAACCCCCATCTGAGTTTCCTCCTTCCCTCTATTGCCCTGTGCCCATGCCTGCCTAGCTGTCATTCTTGTGGGCTTCTGACACCTCCCCTCCTCCCCACTCCTAGTGCCTGGCTCTGACACAGGCTGTCTGCACTGAATCCCTGTAGGTGTCCCGCATGAGATGTCTGCAGAATGAGACTTACAGTGTGCTGAGCCCCAGCAAGAGTGAGGACATTGTGCTTCGATGGAGCCAGGAATTCAGCACCTTGACTCTAGGCCAGTTCGGATGAGCTGGCATCTATCCTGTCCGCACCCCAGCCCGACCTGTCCACGTTCTCTATGTTTTTAGACCCCACCTGTCAGTTCGCTTTCAGGCTGCTCCTTCTGGTTCTGTTACTTGGCCCCTACTCACATTTCCTTGGGTTGGAGCAGCAGTCCCAGAGAGGGCCACGGTGGGAGCTACACCCTCCTCAAAAGATGACTTTACATAAACTGTTTATTTTTAGCCTGTGTGGCCTATTTTGGTTGTGATCCCCATCCTCAGCACTGCTACCCTGCCCTGTGGCAGTCAGTCCCTAACCTCCGGTTATACAGATCCACCTGCGGGTGAGAGAATCTCATGGGAATGGTGGTCAGGAAGCATCCATCGGCCAGGAGAAGCAGAAGACCTGAGAACCCAGGGAGCCGGACTGAGGATGGCCAGGGCTGGGGCTGTGGGGATGGTGTGGGCATGAGGGCAGGTGTGACGTCACTGCTGAAGCCCTAAGGCCCATGATGTCAGATGCGAGCGTAATATTGTTCCTCCGAAGGATAAAGGCCAGGGCCTGATGAGATCTTGTCCAAAGGGAGCAATCCCCGGGTATAGGACAGGCACAGCTTGCACTTTATCAGGAAGGGGAAAACCAGGAACTACAGCCTTGATCAGGAAAACTTGGGGGTTTTGTCTGTTTGTCTTGTTTTTTGAGACAGGGAAGTCTCACTCTGTGACCCAGGCTGGAGTGCGGTGGCGTGATCACCCACTGCAGACTCGACCTCCTGGGCTCCAGCGACATTCTCACCTCAGCCTCTTAGATACTTGGAACCACCAGAATGCACCACTATGGCCGGCTAATTCCTAAATATTTTTGGGCCGGGCATGGTGGCTTACGCCTGTAATCCAAGCACTTTGGAGGCCAAGGCAGGCGGATCACCTGAGGTCAGGAGTTCAAGACCAGCCTGACCAACATGGTGAAACCCTGTCTTTAAAAAAAAAAAAAATTTTTTTTTGCAGAGATGGGCGTCCTCCATGTTGCACAGGTTGGTCTCGAACTCCTTGGCTCAAGCAATTTTCCCATCTCGGCCTCCCAAAGTGCTGGGGTTACAGGAAGGAAACCCTGGGGGTACAGGAATTTGCCAGATGATCTGGATGTTTAAGTGGCTGCATCTTAACAACCTACATTGAGTGTGACTCCAGCATTGGCCCTTAATAACTTGAAATCTTCCAGCCAGTCACGGTGGCTCACACCTGTAATACCAGCACTTTGGGAGGCCAAGGCAGGCAGATCACCTGAGGTCGGGTGTTACAGATCGGCCTGACCAACATGGAGAAACCCCGTCTCTACTAAAAATACAAAATTAGCCAGGCGTGGTGGTGCATGCCTGTAATCCCAACTACTTGGGAGACTGAGGCAAGAGAATCACTTGAACCTGGGAGGCAGAGGTTGTGGTGAGCTGAGATTGTGCCATTTGCACTCCGGCCTAGGCAACGAGTGAAACTCTGTCTCAAAAAAAAATAATTAATAGGCCAGGCGTGGTGGCTCACGCCCATAATCCCAGCACTTTGGGAGGCTGAGGTGCACAGATCACCTGAGGTCAGGAGTTCGAGACCAGCCTGACCAACATGGAGAAACCCTGTTTCTAAAAAAAAAAAAAAATTTTTTAAATAAATAACTTGGGCCGGGCGCGGTGGCTCAAGCCTGTAATCCCAGCACTTTGGGAGGCCGAGGCGGGTGGATCACAAGGTCAAGACATTGAGACCATCCTGGTCAACATGGTGAAACCCCGTCTCTACTAAAAATACAAAAAATCAGCTGGGTATGGTGGCACGTGCCTGTAATCCCAGCAACTCAGGAGGCTGAGGCAGGAGAATTGCCTGAACCCGGGAGGCGGAGGTTGCGGTGAGCCGAGATCGCGCCATTGCACTCCAGCCTGGGTAACAAGAGCGAAACTCCGTCTCAAAAAAAAAAATAAATAAATAAATAAATAAATAACTTGAAATCTCCCAAAGTATGTTCCAGGGATACTGTAGAAGTCTCCCTTCTATAGGTTCATTGTAATTAACAGCATTTTTTGAAAACTTGCTTACTATGAGTTCAAATATGGACAAAAATAGAATAGTATAATGCACCCTCATGTACCCTTCACCCAGTTTCCATGATCAACACAAGGCCTATCATTTAACAGCATGTTAAAGGCCCTCCGGAGCTCCATAATAGAGAAACTTGTTTAACCTAGTGCTTCCCAAACTCATTTCACCACAGTCCCCTTTCCACCTGCCACCAAAAGACTTGAACTTGTTTATTCAGCATGGACAACATGCCCGGCCCCATGCCCACGGGGCCCCTCGTCTCTGTGTCCTCTGGCCCAAGGACACAAGACAAGGAGCCAAAGGGAAACACACCTAAGCAAAGAGGAACCATCCAGCCTGGTGGCTTCTCGATGCAGGAGCCAAGTGTGCTCAGTGGGAGGCAGGGTCTAGCGGAGTGCTGGCACGCAAGGGCCCTAGGCAGGATGAGGTACAAGCCACGAGTGGCATGGGCTAAACCACCTGGCAGACCCAGGAAAGGAAGAGAGGAAGAGAAACACCCAGGGGGAACCGGTGAGGACAGCGAGAGGCTGGTGGGTTAGTCATCTGGCATCTGATGATGGGTGTGCCAGGAAGAGTTCCCAGACACAGCAGGAATATCTGAACGACAGGTAGGGGGGAGTTCTTAGTCAGCAAGAGTCAAGGCTGGATTGAGTGTCCTTAGCTGCTGGGGTTTCTTCTCTGGCCAGTCTGTGAAGGCCTCTGAGGGCAATGCTTCCTCTTCACTCTCTCCTTGGCCCCTGTGGGGTTGGGTGAGTGCCTGAGCTGGGAGGGATATGCTGAGATCTGCTGAAGTGGGTGTGTCCCCTCCCGCCCCAGGAGCAGGTCCTGCCAGCCCAGCTCAGAGCAGGCAGCGGAAGCCAGCTTGGGGCAGCGCAGAGCCACAAGGAGCACAGGTATGGGGGTGTCATTCGTTGAACGGCACAGGGAGCACAAGGGGCAGCACCCCTCCTGTAGAAATGGAGGACATGGGTGGGGGACAGAGATCAGGGTAGGCATGGGCCCTGGAAAGCCCTGCTGAACAGAGGAAAAAGATGAAAAGAGCTGCTTCAAGTAGACAGATCTTTTCAGATGGAACTGGACAAACAGCTAACATGCCTGCTGTACCCCAGGGGTGCCTCTCTGACACTTGAAGCCCCTACTCTGGGGCGTCTCACAGAGGCTTTGTCCTCCCCCTCCCCCTCCCCCTCTAGGCCCCCACTGTGGTGCTGAACCCTGGGCCTCCGGGGACGACCCTCTGGGGACTGTTTACACCCTTTTCCCACTCCCAGTTAAACCTCAACCCCTGCGCCACTCATCCCCCAGGGCCCGGCAGATGACAATGAGCTAATCTAATCAAACTTGCTAATGGGTTGACTAGCACAGATGTGTTCTCAGTGTTATCCTTCCCAACTAGCCAAGATGTACTGTAATGGGGTCTTCAGGAAGTGCTGCCTTAACCCAAAGGGTGCATCTCTATAAGGGGATTAGACTGATGCTCTTTGATGTCCCTATGGCTCTGACAGATTGTGGCTTGAGGGGATGGAATTTTGGAGGTGGGGGACATAACTGGAGGTCAGCAGGGATTTATGATACCTTTGTATCACATGATGAGGATGGGGCCTACCCATTACCTGTGGTTGTGGGGCCCCATGACAAGGAGGGGACCTCCACCAGATTGTATCTCCACAATGCCTCCTTTTTTCCTTTCCTTTTTCCTTTTTTTTCCTTTTTCTTTTCCTTTACTTTCTTTTTGACAGAGTCTCGCTCGGTTGCCCATGATGGAGTGCAGTGGCATGATCTTGGCTCACTACCACCTCTGCCTCCTGGGTTCAACTTATTCTCTGCCTCAGCGTCCCAAGTAGCTGGGATTACAGAAACGCACCACCACGCCTGGCTAATTCTTGGATTTTTAGTACAGACAGGGTTTCAACATCTTGGCCAGGCTGGTCTTGAATTCCTGACCTCGTGATCCACCCGCCTCGACCTCCCAAAGTGCTGGGATTACAGGCATGAGCCACTGCGCCCGGCCTCTGCTAATATTTTGAAATATTTTGTAGCGATGGGGTCCTACTCTGTTGCCCAGGCCAGCAGAAATCCTCCTTTTAGGGTGAGCTAAAGTTGTAGACCTAGGTGGACATGGAGGGAGGGATTAAGGTGAGACAGAAACTTACTCGCATGTGGTATGTGTAAGCCTCACCTCCCGGTCACCCAGGGGCACTAGAGCCCAACTCCATCTGTCTGATGCCATCTGCTCTCTTCACTCTGCCGTCCCCAGTGCATACCCCAAGGCACACCTGGCAACAGATATATTTTATGCCCAGGGGCATTTTTTAAAAGCCCAGGAAAATGGCCAGGCGTGGTGGCTCACACCTGTACTCCCAGCACTTTGGGAGGCCAAGGCGGACTGATCACAAGGTCAGGCATTCAAGACCAGCCTGGCCAACATGGCGAAACCTCGCCTCTACCAAAAATACAAAAATTAGCCGGGTGTGGTGGCAGGTGACTGTAGTCCCAGCTACTCAGGAGGCTGAGACAGGAGAATCGCTTGAACCTGGGAGGCAGAGGTTGCAGTCAGCTGAGATTGCGCCACTGCACTCCAGCCTAGGTGACAGAGCGAGACTCCGTCTCAAAAAACAAAACAAAACCCAGGAGGAGGAGGTGGCAAGAGGGGTGAGGGCTGAAGCCAGTGCACACTATGGTCAAGTGAGGTCAGCAAGGCCCACAGGCTCCAGTGGATTTCCTGAGGAGGCAGGACCTGCCAGGCTACAAGTGAGGGTCAGCTGCACACAGACCACCTCAGGGCACACGTCAGGTGGCTGGGCCTGCCTGCATGGCTTCTCTTGGTTGGGACTGACTTTTGCTTTTCCACCTCTTAAAAGCAGGGTGAGAGGAGGGGCACAATGGTGAGGTGTTATGCGCACATTGGGGAAACTAGTTATTGAGCCGTAGACTACCTTTGCATTCTGCCTTTTCCCACACAAGTGTCAGGAAGGATGAGGTCAGAATATGCAGGGAGGGGAAGCCAGGGCCAAAGATGATGCTGGAAATGCAGGAAGAGACAGGCTTCAGTGGGGAAGGGTGGGGAGAGGTGGGAGCAGGAATTTTGGCTGGAGAAGCAGGCAGGCCTGGGCCAAGGAGGAGGGAAGATGTGTAGGCTCCAGTGACTCCTCTCTGAGGAAGAATGTGGCCCTGGGGCAGAAGGAGGCCTCCCCACTCACCCTGGGGACGTTGTACTGTCCCCAGACCTCTAGGACAGGATGAGGGTTCGTCCTCCTGTTCCATCTAGTCTTCCATGTCATCCCTGCCCCTCAGGCGCAGGATAAGTGGAAGAACAGGATTCGTCTGTGCCCCGCAGACAGCTCTGGGACAGAGCTTCTCACAAAGGCTTTAGACCGAGCTAAGCTTCTACTGAAGGCTCAGCACAGCTGGCATCCGTTTGGAGGGCCTGGATACAGAGATACTGAGGAGTCTTCATGACGACACCTGGCTGTGGGGAAAGGGTGCATCCTCCCAACGCTGCCTGAACACAGAGGCAGAGGAAGTAGGCTTCGCTAATTCAGCAAGCGGGTTAGGGCGCACACTAAAGAGGGACTTCCTGTGTCGGGGCTGAGACACTGATGGGCCACAAGACTCTCAAAGGAGGATGGGGCTATTCCAGAGCTGATCCTCAGGAGCAAGGAGGATGGGAAGATGTGAGAATCCTTCTTTTCAGTCCTCTGACCTTAAGGAATTGGAGTCCGGAGACCCAGGATGTGAATTATTTGAAAGAGGAGGCAAAGACAGAGCAAGGCATGTGGTGCTTGTGGGGAGGTGGGCAAGGCAGGCAAGGCAGATGGGAGGAACTGGGCAGAGAGGAGGCAGTCCCCTCCCCCCCACACCCTTCTCATTGTCCCCAACCCCCTGGTCCTTTCTCCTCAGCTCCCCTCGACATCATTGGTCTGCTGCCAAGGAGGCTGGATACCAGGGCAGGGTGTGTGTGGGAGTGAGGGAATGATCACGATTTTGCCTCCTGCTCACTTTTATACTCTTGCTCTCACTTCCTGCCTCTGGCAGAAAAAAACCCTGCCCCTCTGGCTTATCTCAGCAAAGAGCAGTGCCCAGCCCAGCTCAGAGGGCAAGGGGACAGATCCCAGAGGCCCTGGGGAGGTAAGGAAGCTGGTCCCCGGATGTGTACGTGGGAAGCCGAAGGACAGAGACCCAGGGAGCAGGAAGGTGGCTGCACACACTCTGGTGTGTGAGTGGGGTTGGGGTGGGTGATACAGAAGGAGCAGTCCGGGGGCTTCTGTGTATATGGTGGTCTCTTTGCCCCTGATTGCCTGGGGGTTGAGATCTGCTGTGCTTGTGAAGCCTCCTGGTTCTATGTCTGGCTACGTAAGGGTACTGTCCCTAAGGCAGAGGCTTCTTCCTCTTCCTCCCCAGCCCAGTTGTCTGTGTATATACTTGTACATTACAGGATGTGTACAGACACCAATTTGTATGTTACCAGGGATCATGTGTGCACATCTGTTAGCGTGTGTATATGTCTGCATGTCTGTGCACACACATGTGTAGTGAGTGGTATACTTACCTGACATCAGTGGGTGCCGGCGTTTCTGAGGCTACTCGGGAGGCTGAGGCCACCTCCGTGTCCCTCCTTCCTGGTGTTCCTTCTTTTCTGGGGCAGCTGCCGTTTCTTTGATTCCTGCGTCTCTCCCACAGCCTGACCTCTTCTTCAAGGCAGGATTTGGGGGAGAGGGTCTGGGCTGCCCCTCCCCCACACCTAGTTTCCCTCCTTCCACTTCCTGTTAGCCTCCTTTTTGGCAGTTTTTTCCATCTTCACCATCTGTCCTGGCACTGTGCCCATTCAGCTCCTGAAGGGGCCCCCGGGCTCAGGGAAGCAGGAATGTGGGATGGGACGAGGCCAGGGTCCTGGAGGCTCTCAGCGCTCAGCTTGGGCCATTCCGTGTGCCTGTGAGAAAAAGGCGCCTTTTTGACAAACAGACTCCTTTAGAAAGAAACCCAGGCCGGGCGCGGTGGCTCACCCTGTAATCCCAGCACTTTCGGAGGCCAAGGCGGGCAGATCACGAGGTCAGGAGCTGGAGACCATCCCGGCCAATACGGTGAAACCCCGCCTCTACTAAAAATACAAAAATTAGCTGGCCATGGTTGCGCATGCCTGTAATCCCAGCTATTGGGAGGCTAAGGCAGGTGAATCGCTTGAACCAGGGAGTCGGAGGTTGCAGTGAGCCGAGATTGCACCACTGTACCCCAGCCTGGAGAAAGTAAGACTGTCTCAAAAACAAACAAACAAAAAAAGAAACCCAGCCAGGTGCGGTGGCTTGCGCCTGTAGTCCTAGCACTTTGGGAGGCCAAGGCGGGCGAATCACGAGGTCAAGAGATCGAGACCATCCTGGCCAACAAGGTGAAACCCCATTTCTGCTAAAAATATAAAAAATTAGCTGGGCGTGGTGGTGTGTGCCTGTAGTCCCAGCTACTCGGGAGGCTGAGGCAGAATTGCTTGAAACCAGAAAATGGAAGTTGCTGTGAGCCGGGATCGCACCACTGCACTCCAGCCTGGCGATAGAGCAAGACTCCATCTCAAAAAAAAAAAAAAAAAAAAAAAGAAACCCAAGATGGGTTGGGGCTGGGTGCCGTGACTCAGGCCTGTAATCTCAGTGCTTTGAGAGGCTGAGGCGGGTGGATCACATGAGGTCAGAGTTCAATACCACCCTGACCAATATGGGAAAACCCTTCTCTACTGAAAATACAAAAATTAGCCAGGCATGGTGGTGCATACCTGTAGTCCCAGCTACTCAGGAGGAGGCTGAGACAGAAGAACTGCTTGAACCTGGAAGGTGGAGGTTGCAGTGAGATCGTGCCACTGTACTCCAGCCCAAGCAAGACTGTGTCTCAAAAAAAGCCTCTAAATATTTGA